AAAWTWWTTYMARSYTKRAAWTYYTWARKKRAAAAAAAAAACGCGACGTTTCTTACCTTCAGCCAARCGGTCCTAGATTGAGTACTGACATCTGAGACGAGATCTCGTGTTTAGATGAATTTCTCTCCAAGCTAGCATAATTCGCCTCAGGATCAGTTAGTGCTATCTGTAAGTTCCATAGATATTTACTTCGCCGTCGGCGTTATTGTGKATATGTTGTGTAGATTAACGCGAAACGTGACTCATTCCATGAACGTACGCGACGAGGCTTTGCAGAAATGACTTATCCATACCCATATCATCCAATATGATATGAAATTAAAACGTATTCATTAATCCATCTTGTCGCCTATTTGCCCTTCTCTAAACACAGGATATGAGGTGATGTCTAGTTCTCGATTAGCCAATCAGCGCCTAGTATATCCARTCTCTGTTCTTGATGGGTATTCTTTATCGATGTGGGACCAAAATCATGACAGTTACTGTGATTTGCGCATGATCAGATTCTAGGTGGTCACATTCATCTCAATTCAAAATTTTGAACTTTGTGCAAGAATCTTTACATCGCTTTTAGAGTTTGAAAAATTAAAAGAGATCAGAGATAATGTTAGCATTAAACACATGAGGCCGTATTAGTTTCCATCATAAGACATGCCGTCAAACACTTCGGGACCTCCTTTAACACTTATATTAAGAGCGTTCTCTGATTGGTCGAAGGTGGATCATTAGATGAGGCGGTCCATAAACTTACTTCAGAATTAATTAAATTTCCATAGTAACGGTTTCTCTGATTGTTGAAATCCGCTACAGACATTGTTCATCGTGGTCAAGAGCTTTTAGTTTTACTCTTATTTACTGGTAATCAAATGACAGAAAAGTTTGTCAATTTGAACTAATGTATTTTTGTTCATATTTATTATAAAACCCCTTAAGCTGAAACCTTCTTCTCCAGTTCGTAGTCCGTTCTAGATGCACAGCACGGAAAGAACCAAAAAGCGTTACCGCACCAAAGGTAGCACGCTCCTTTATTTTGTATTCGGCTGTGATAATAGAGGGKATTGGACATCTTTCCAGCTTCTTCTCTCCCCTCCTGGCTTAAAATCGATCATGATCCAAGTTTTTTTAACGCTCTTTTACTTACGTGTCCTTTTTGTTCTCTTTTTCTTCGTTTCCCTTCCTTTTGGCATCTTTCTTTCCTTTTATTCCTAATTTGGCAGTCCCTTRTCCTTTTCATGCGCCACAAGACCATTTACTAAACAAAGGTTGTATAGTCGCAAAACTAGCTGCATATCTTGCGAAGTATACGAAATGCAGCACTACGAAGTTCTCTTATTCTCCAACAGTAGATTATTGGGTTTATTAAACTATTAATCTTTACCATGGTGATGGTAATATTCGAGGCGTACCCCTTTGCAATAGAAGGCTCCTTTACAACAATAAACGTGATCATTATCCCAAAATATGGAATATAGCACGCAAGAAATGCTCCTAATGTCATCATCATCACAATCACTGATTTCTTAATCTTTGGCATGTTGATGGTAGTACTGATGGGCACTGTTGATGAATTTAGCTGGGCGTGTATCTGTGACGAGTGTCTTTTGATAACGCGATTGATTTTAAAGATGAAGCACAAAGTGGTGAGGCTAAGGGATGCATACAGTATCGTCGAAAAAGGAAGATAAAGTCGTTGATTCTCATACAGGATTCTGGCAACTCCAACTGTCGCTATAAATACCCAGATCGAAAAATGTAGTATAGCATACCGCCTTGTTGTAATCAACTGCCGATATCGAAGATGTAAATGAATCGCCAAAAAGCGATCGACAGTGATAGCAGTGAGAGCGATAAGCGACATTAAGCTTAAGACCCATAAACAGTTACTCACCACGAGTCCATTGGAGCACAACAACTGAACGTTTCTCTTTAGTTCAGCGTATTTCGATGCACAAGTAAACGGTTCTGCAATCACGCCGACAAARAAATCAGTCACTGCAAGATTTAAAATTAGTATATTTGAAGGYGTTTGTAGATTTGGAGTCTTTATGATTGTGAAAACCACGACAAAATTGGTAAGTATTGTTAATAGGGAGAGAAGAAAATTGACGAGTAGAATTGTCATCAGGAACAAATCGTGTTGATTGTCACTTGCCGAGAGTCGCACAAATGGTGAAGATAAAGGTGGGCATGGCAGAGGCTTTAGATTGTCGAAAACTTTACTAGAATTGCTCTCCATGTTTATATATCCAATTTAATCCGTGTTTTGATACTGTAACAATTATGTTTTCAATGACGTACAAGTAGATATGATGGTAATAACGATGATAATGTTCTTTGGTTCCTGTGTCAAGAACATTCACGGGGAATGAGCTTTCTCTTGCGTGTTCTCTGATGGGTGATGTGAAAATTTCTACGAAAAACCTTTAGACTTATACTTTTAAATAGCCTTTTTCAAAGAAATGATTTCAAATTAGCGAATTTCCAGCCACAATTTGCTGTTTTGAACTATCATTTGAAGGCGCAACTGTTGATTAACATAGCTGCTTACTGTACGGTGTTGTTGCTGTTTCACAATCCTGTAATAGTCCTCTACGTCAGAAAACTATTTATATGCTGAGTAATTAAGTAACATTTGTTATTTTTTGTGGCAATTTCTTCTGGTATCACGCTGGTGCAAGTGAAGTGGGCGAAGCGTTTACCTTTTTTTTACCTCTCTTCTTCAACTTTTGTCAGCGTTTTGCGCCAGTTTGTTGCTACGATATATTTTGTTTGATATATTTGGGTAATTACTGTTGCTAACGTTGATAAGCAGTAGGTCTAGTGTTAAGCGTTGTAAACAGTCCGCCGCAACTCCCTTTACCCGAAATCAGTCGTTCAAATACAGACAAGCCCTTTGGCAAAAAAAAAAACGAATGAAGCCCGAACAATACACGAATTCGCGATATTCCCGCCCACYAATTCCGACTTCAGGACGAACATAAGTGTATTGGAATCATGATTGGCTCACTCTTAGTCGGCGAGCAGTCGGAATATTGGATTGATAAAAGCGTGGGAGTTCGTGTATCGAGATAACAACCAGTTCTAGAAGYTGCACGGTGTATATTATATTGGTCTGATAGCTATAAACTGTACACAAGGAGCTTTAATCATATTCTTATGTAAAACAGGAAGGCACAATTAAGTGGAAAAAGAGTTTATTGTTCATTCAGAATTCTCACTTTAAGCGCGAACGTACAAACCGTGACAATCCGTGAGAACGATTTAGTATAGAAAATTAAGACATACAATAACTTATAGAAAGTACTTCTTGTATTAGTGTGAGGCACTTTAAAAAAGGAATAAACGTGTAGTATTTAAGTATCTCTCATGTCTTTTATTCTATCTACTCGGCCAAATATCACATCACATCCATTTACTTTTATCGCAAATTGTAAACATCTTTGAGCTCAAATAAGGTTTTATATTATTGTTGTCACATCTGTATAGATTCATTGAGCTTSGACTGATCTCTCTGAGTTGTAAAAACACCGCATCTGTTTTTTAATAAGTATTGATACATTTGAGTGGCTATTGTCGTTACTTAACAAAAGGAAATCTTTCTCTTTCCGCTGTACTTGAGTTCGCGCACCGTTTTGTTTTTTGTGATACTAGAGCCTTGTGCAATGAATATAATATAAAATAATTAAAAATATAGCTTGCTTGTTTCTACTGTCATGCGATCCGTAACATTTATTAGCTTTTATTTAGGCAAACTGGCCAAAGTTTTAGTGAAAATTGCAATAAAAAGCACTGTTGATTTACACTTGTTTTTTTTTTAAATTCACTCAACATAGCCTCTCTGTGCTCTCTGTGAAAGAGATTTGGACTCGTTTTTTGTCAGGAATGAAAAAGGTAAAATAACGCTATTTTTCCAGACAGACTCCTCGCGCTTCTCATCCAGCTCTCCCCGTCCACAGGGATCCCAAGAGGGACACAACGTAGGGTATCCAGGGTATCCAATAATCTGCTTATGCTCAGTGTCATGAAAASCACTGATAGTCACGCTGCGCTAATACCGTGACAAAACGTCACAATATGCAGCTTCAAAGCTTAGTCTAAAGTCCATTATCAAATAAGAATCGAAAACCGTGACGCACGGTTTGGCATGAAAACCATATCTATATTTTTATCATTTTTACTGGCAGGCCTGAACGGCCGATTTGCCATGAAAATAGCAATGATGCCATTGTTTATTCAACGGCATTTATTGGTTTTCTCGAARCTGGGTGAAGAACTTGGTAGAAGAGGACATCAGGTATTGTATAATTATTATTATTACCTCCTACTGTYTGTACCTGATGAATGTTATGAACTGTTTGGTTATTTACATCTATATTTCGGTCGAATATTGATTCCAAATCTGAAATATAAACTGCATACGTTCCCTGAAAATTGTTCATCAAACTTYAGAAAAGATTGTTTATCATAATATATATATAGCGTGAGTATTGATGCTGTAACTACACCAATTATTTTGACTTTGTTCTATCGATATTTTAATAATATTACAATAGAAAAATTGTACTTTTTTACGACTCTTTTTCGTGTTATGAGTTTATCACGGATAAGAATATGTGGTTTTGGATAAAAATATACACATCGCATAGCTATTATTTTGTATAATTTTATTATAATATATTAAACACAACAGCAAGAAGAATTAAACGTTACAGCGACACTTATGATGCTCAATCCTTCCTTTTAGGTCATAATCTTTGTTGGGGACAAAGTAGCTAACTATACAAACGGACAAGAAATGATTCAAATCTTCAGCACTCCCAACTCGAATAAAATAATCGACTTTGTCAACGGGAAGTCAGTCTCGCAAGGACTTCTGCCTATGGCCAAAGTTTTAWTCCTCTATTCTCTTCAAAAAGACTACTGCAATGATTTCTTGAACGACGATAAAGCGTTGAACGAATTGAAAAATGCTGAGCTGCTTGTTGGGGACTCTATCTACGCATGCTCGGCTTTGGTTGCGGCCAAGTTTAGAATCCCACATGTTGTTGTGGAAAGCCCTTTGAGCACCCCGTCGTACGCACAAGAGATGTTAGCAAARTTTRATAGGAAAACAAAYGGATTTTTAGATAGCCTTCAATTTTATCTACATAGATTTGGTTTACGGGTCAACGCAAATCCAATGTACCGTGAATTGAAGTCGCGGCACGGTATAAAACTAGAAGAAACAATTCATGAAACTTTGACAAAGATCGATTTGTTCTTACTTGAAAGATATTTTACTGAGGGTACGACAATTCTTCCAGAATGTAAGTATAAGGATCGAAAGGATCAGTCAGCCATGTTGTTTTCACGCTAGATAGCACTTCCGGGTTCACGCGAGGGATTTAATGCTATATTAGTTTATACATTTAGGAGTTGTYCAAAGATGAAATTATTTGTTATTGTACGTTCACATGGTAACCTTATACCTATCTTTTCTTTCTAAAAGACGTCAAAACAGTTGGCCGTCTCCTTCCTGGTCCTGACAAGAATGAAATGGAAGATTTTATGTCGAGTACGTCCGACCATGGTGTTATTCTCGTATCGACTGACTCTGCAGTTGACACCAAAATAAAGAAAATATTGGAGAAAGTGTTTTCTGAGATTCCTCAAAAAGTTATTTGGAATTCTACAGGTGAATATTATACATAGGTAATGTAAACATCCGTCAAATAAAATCGCGGGGCTAGTAGTGACAACTAACAACAAACAATTTTTCTTTTATAGGAAAATATGACATGATATTTTCTTCAAATGTTAAAACAGTTGAGCGCTTTCCGCAAAGTATTATTGGTCACAGTAAAACTAAACTTTTGATCGTCGATGTCGTAATGGCTGATGTTGCGGTTCATGCTGCTCGTAATGGAGTACCAATGCTTTGGTTTGAAGCTGGGAAAGAGTTAATAGAATCTCCAATAAGTTTATTAAAAGACGTTGGTTTGGGGGAACTCGTGGATTTACATAACACAAGCGTTGGTCAGATTGTTGGCTTAATAAAACAGCTCATTCATGAGAAAAGGTACATGTAAAAGAAGTGTTGTTTAAGAGGTAGCACGACTGAAAGGAATTCTGGGTACCTTATTCGATATCCACAACTCCTCTCGCCCGTGTAACCTCAATTCGCCTAGGCCTTCCTCTTGGGCAAGGATTTTGAAAAACCTGTATGAAAATTCTTTTTATCTTCCTTGTTTTACCGTCTTTTTTTCTATAGGAATTTATATGACCCATTCAGTACGCAGTATGCTTCTCATACTAGCAGGGAATTGCGCAACTTTCGTCGGCCATCTCTTTATCATGCCCGGTAACTTATAAGTGTACCTAATAAGCATTTTATCATTTGCAGATACAAGGAAAAAGCCATTCAATTTTCTCGTATCGTTAACGTGCGCCCACGAACACCGCTACAAGAAGCAGCAGAAATTATTGAAAACTTTCACTCTGTCCGCATGAGCAATCAGGCCTATTTAATTGGCACACAAGGCCAGGGCTCAACTGATAATTTCTTGGATGTCTTTATATGGAATGGAATATTGCTAACATTAGCACTSGCTGTAGTGAAACGAGTCGTTGAAGTGTGGCATTCACGAAAGGCCAAAACTCCTTGACCAGAGGGATGTGGGGGGAAGGGGCTATTGCAATTATTATTAATTATAAATAGTGGTTTTCATAAAACTCCTTTGTTACGATTTTATAAGCTCTATCAGTTCAGTTCATGAAAAACACTAAAAATAGAATATAACCCTAAAGTTCCCTATATCCTGGGGGGCAGCCTATATCGAAGACTTTGTTTTCTAAGGTAATGATGGGGGTTTTAGAACGCCCTGAAACCATCTGCTTCACACGCCCCTTATAATAAAATGGTTTTTCACACTTTAATAAACGCTATTTGGATTTTTTTCTTACATATTTTAAGAGTTTATCTTTATTATAATACAAAATTTTCAGATTAAGATTTCGATGATGCATCCAAAAGTGCCTTTCGTTTGGCTGTTTCCTTGGTAACACTTTGGTGGAGTCTTCCAAGACGTTCCTRTACCATRACATATAGATGGAAAAATATAATTTTTATGAATGAATTTTATATCAAATTAAATGAAAGAAAGTAAATAAAAAATAATCCATATTGTTGTAGCATCACTTAGTATGAATAGGCGATTTGCATTATGGCGTCATTTACTACAACTACCAGAAGGCTTTGCCCACTTTCTTTTGTAATGCAATTAGTGCCAATTGTTTTACTAATCGCTAAGGGGATTAAAAATCTGAATAACAAAGAAAATGCGCAAGGCTTTCTGGTAGTTGTAGTAAAGTTACGCCATCATGCAAATGGCCTATTCTGAAGGCAACAAAAACATGATGTTTGGGGTTCCTGTTGTAACTGTCTTGTGGAGAAGATCACCCAACCCCTCCCCTCACATTCCTATTTCAATGGTTCAATGTTCATGAACACAGGAATCCCAAGAGAGTTGAGTTGTCTACACAGGAATCTGATAAACTTGGCATAGCTTAAATAGGCAAGCTTCAGCTATACATAGATCTACAAGTTCCTACAAAGGCAGGAGCCTCAGTCAACTAAAAAGTCACAACGTGAAGGCAATCAACATAAACAATTTTTTAACCGTCACATACTGAATACCTGAGCGTTTTGAAGGATGTTATTAACAAGCATGATTCGTCGTCTTGAATTCATCAATTTTTTGACATAAGGTTCTAGATCTAGTGGAATTTCTTGCAATTCTTGAAGCTTGTGAAGGTCTAGTGTCAAAATACATTAAGAATCAGAATTATTACCCAGGGAGTAGAGGGTGGGGGCATTGATTTTCGCAGTGCAGCTTCTCCTGATCAACATCTCATGATTTCATGCAGTCTTCCGGTGTCCAAAAGATAAGTTCCACTGATAATTTAAAAAAAATATATTGTGCTGAAGCCTATAAGAAGCTAAAAGATAATATACAACATATCAACAATCAAAATTATTGGTACCTTCTGTTAAAGCATCGATTTGTGTTCTTAGTTCAACTTGGCTTTGTCTAAATGTATAATAAATTGATGAATTGATTTGTTTTRATACAAAAAAAGCGATAAAACAGCTTTAAAACAGCTTTTGAGGCTAAAAATCGAAAAGGATGACAAACAATCTTGCCAAGTTTTTTCAAATAATATGGTAGAAATGCGGTCACCTCACCTTACATTGTGTACTTTACTATCTAACTCTTGTATAGCTGGTTTAAATAAATTCAAAAGTCCTTCAGAAAGAGCTTCACGACTCGTTGCATCGGGAGGAGACATCACAGCAATGTCGTCCGCCATCTTGGTTAAAGAAATACACTTACCCTCCCCTCCCTCATAACATAACAACTTGGACTTTGCATCCTCTCCTTGAAAAGACTGTATTCAAAATGGCTGCTCCTCAACTTCGTCGTCTTTTCAGCCCAACACTCGCGGTAAGTTCAAATTTATCGTAGCTTGGTAAAGCTTGACAATTTTTGTGTATATCAGAAAAACGATGGCTCAAAAATAAATGCAATTCTGGCAATATTTATCTGTTTTGTGTTAGTCACCATTTCATTGTAGATTTCACGTTTCGTAGCCATTTTCGTGATCATCTTAAAAGTAAAATTACCACTTTTTTAACAACAACAATACTTTGTGTTTCTTGAGGTTTTTTTTCTTTGTTTATTCGAATAGTGCTTTGTTTGGGCAGGTCGATTAGTTAGGGTCACGAATGCCTTTATCCAGGAACGTTGATTTGACAGTTATGCAATAACAATACAAAGAGAGACCAGACAGTGTATCAGTGCAGGCATAGGCCACCCAACTATTGCTTGAGGGCTGGAAAAGAACAAACGAATGCCTTTAATTATGCATATATTTTATCGGCACACGCTCTTAGCAACATGCGGATGACCTGTGTTATTACATCATGGTCCYGTGCCTCATGGACCTACACTGGTCTGTGACAGACTAGCACCGCAGGTAATCTGCATTTTGCTAASAGCGTGTACGGATAGCAACAAACATAACGATTCTCATCTTTTTGCCTTATTTTGCAGAGGGCGTTTGCCCCAGTGTCAAGAATAGCAAATGTAAGTAGCGTACATTCAAAGATGATTCTAAAATTGTTAAACATGACTCAGCRATGATGAAGAAAACATCAGTGTTATATGAGAGTGTACAAGGTCACATGACTAATTTAGCTCATGAAGCATTGATAAGATATATATATATATATGTTATTTACTGGCTGGGAGGTCCATATAGGAAAACACTGCCTGATGTCTTGACAGTATGGAATGAGCGCAGCGAGGTCAGTACACAAAAGACCGAGGGTAATGTTTTCCTATACGGGCCGACCTATAGCTGGTTTACAAATAACATTTTAATTTTTATTTGTATTTTATGCAACTTTGCTTGCAGCCTAGCTGCAGGATACTGTGGACTGGGCAGATCGTGAAAAACTGGACCGCGCGCTAGCCAATCACAGCTCCCGAATGACTAGGATGCCAGACCAAAAAAATAAATAAATAAAATAATGTTGTTATAATGATATTTTTTTGACAGACAAGGCAATGCTCAGCATCCATTGCCCCTGAAGCATCATCTTTCAACTCAGGACTCTCTTTTGGTTAGTGTAATTTCTTATACTTTTTATACAACAAAATATTTTGCTGTGATACAAGTTGGTTCACTACTAGTTAAACATGCAGCATCACTTTCCAACTTGTTTTGCAGCAACGTTACGACAGAAATTGAACGATTCTGTTGCTCAATATTACTATACCTTTATTAACTTGGCATTTTTTCAATGTTTACAGAAATGTCAGATGAATTGAAAGCACTTCAGGACATGTCAAGAAAGTTTGCAAGGGAAGAAATTATGCCTGTCGCAGCTGAACATGACAAAACAGGAGAAGTAAGTGATGTCACTTCATGAATACTCATGGCCATGATTGACTAACAATATACAGTAGCATCCATTACATAATTATTATATGAAAGAAACCAAGGGAAACACAAAAGAAAACTGTTTGTATTTTCTTTGTAGTACCCTTGGGAAATAATCAAAAAAGCACATGCGCTTGGACTGGTTAATGGWCATATTCCTGAATCTTGTGGTAAGATACAATTTGATTTGTAAATTTAAATGTATACTTTTTCAGTAAATTATCTTTTCTGTTCTAATTTATGTTCTACAGGAGGKCCTGGTTTGGGTATCCTTGATGCTTGTGTCATAACAGAAGAGCTGGCGTATGCCTGCACAGGAATACAGACTGCCATTGAAGCCAACTCACTTGCTGTAAGTGCAGCCAGTATCTTGGGCAGGTCACTATGAATTTGCSTTCTGATAGAATCTTATTTGATTTACCAGGAAATGCCAGTGATTCTTGCTGGTAGTCCAGAACAACAGAAAAAGTACCTGGGTCGTATGATGGAAGAAGCTCTCATGGCTGTGAGTTGTGCATCWGCTACATAATTCATTATAAGCAATTTAGTTTTACCTGAAATTGTTTTTGGACATAACAACAACACCCTGCAGTTGAATCTCTTTTAAGAAATATAAAATGACAGTTTGTGTCGTTGTTCTCTGAAATACATGTAAGTATGGTGGGAGATTGAGAAAACCAGAGAAGCAAGTCCAGGAACACAAGCGCACTGTTTCTCTTGCTTCTTTAAGTGTATGTCAACATGTATGTTTTTATCAGAGGACAGAGASACAAATGTCAATTTTTTCTTTCTTATATAAATGTACAGTCGAGTGACAAATATATGTTTCCAAATGAAAAGAAATATGAGGACTGCATGGCACTATGAGATACATGATATAGAAATAAAGGAAAGACATAGCACTATAACTTAAATCATGTATTTGCAACCAATCTGTATGAACTACTAATTGTTTATGTTATAATAGGCTTACTGTGTCACTGAACCCGGTGCYGGMTCRGAYGTTGCAGGCATCAAAACAAGAGCAGAGAAAAAGGGTGATGAAGTAAGTTAAATTCAACAAGAAATGATAAATATAGCTATTCTACTCTACGTTGTAATCGTACAAGACGAAATGAAGTTTAGTGTCATTATTAAACATCATAATTACCTTTATTATTGTTCAGTATGTGATTAATGGACAAAAGATGTGGATCACTAATGGAGGTGTTGCTAAYTGGTAAGTAATTGATCCCCCATCCTAAGMTTTTTCACCAAAGGTTGGGGAAATTGTTTGATGCATTAAAAAAGAGAGATTTTGTATGGAGTGGGCTGTCTCGATAAGGAATTTTTGATGAATATTTTGGCTAGTAGTACACTCACTGTKTGGCCTCTTGACTTAAATGGTTTTTACTATAACTTATCAACTCTTTTCATCTAATAGGTACTTTGTGTTGGCAAAAACAGACCCAACAGCTAARGCTGGCCAGGCATTTACTGGTTTTATCGTAGATGCCGACTCTCCTGGAATCACACGTGGTCGCAAGGTAAAAAACTTGTCTCTAAAATTTTCACCAATTCTTGTCTTCTCCAATTTACAAATCGATTCTTGCATATTTATATTATATTTATTCAATTTCTTTCCAGGAATGGAACATGGGGCAACGAGCATCTGATACACGGGGCATCACATTTGAAGATGTTGTAGTACCAAAAGAGGTAAAGTGTTTCTAACATACTATCGACTTGTTCATGGAGGCAAATATCTAAACAAGATGATGTTCTTGCAGAATGTCTTAGGTGCAGAGGGACTTGGATTCAAGATAGCCATGGGTGCCTTTGACAAGACAAGACCTCCGGTTAGTGAAAACAAAATTACATCATAAACTCACAGTTGGACTCATTTGTTAAAGAACTAAGCTGAATACTTTCCGATATCAACACAGGTTGCAGCTGGTGCCGTAGGTCTTGCCCAAAGAGCACTGGATGAAGCTACAAAGTATGCCATGGAAAGAAAAACTATGGGAAAGCCTATCTTTATGGTATGACTCCATGGAACCTTATCCAACATGCTTRGTCCTATGTCCTTGTGACGTCATGATGATTTAACGAAGTGCATTGTGGTATAGCGTACTGAAGTGATGACGTCACAAAACACAAAAATGAAATGCAGCGCAACTACAGGCGGYTGCGGAAGAGACTTCGCAGTACAAAGTTTGTCGAGGATGCTTAAAAAGAACAACATTCCTGTGCATTAGCATATAATGCTAAAAATCAACTGTTGAGCAAAAACTAATACTTTTTTTYTCACAAAACAACTAGCATTAGAAACACAACTTCATTCGCTACTTTTGTCAAACACATAGTCAGGTGAATTTCACCGGAAAGCGCATGACGTCATCAGGAAAAAGGGGTGGTTCACCTATCTAAGTACATTACCGTAACAATAGTTGTATTATAATCTTTTCTTCCTGTGTCTAGCATCAAGCAGTATCGTTCATCTTAGCTGACATGGCTGTCGGTGTAGAGACATCAAGGCTTGCTATGCATAGGGCTGCTTGGGARATTGACCAGGTTTGTCTTGTCTCTTCCGCCTCSMTCTCGTTATTCTTCGTTTAATCTKMCTTCGGCGTCTTATCTTTCTTCATTCTYTTCCGTCTTTTGCCCSTATTTTCTGTCTTCTCTTGACGTCTTTTCTGGCTTTTTCTYATTCCTTTTCCCTTCTTTTCTTCTTCATTTTTTTCTTTGCTTATTATTTTCTTTATATATCTCTTTTCAATTCTTAATGCTTGCTGTTTGCTGCATATYTYTRSTCTCATGACCGTGATTTMTTTGCAGGGTCGTCGAAATACATACTTTGCTTCAATCGCTAAATGCCTTGCTGGTGATGTTGCCAATAAATGCGCTGCTGATGCWGTTCAGGTCAGTATTTGCCATTAATTCTTGGACACCAGTATTTCGGTAGTAGACCAAGAAGCTGTCCAACATAAACTAAACACTTTCTCTTCAACAGGTGTTTGGTGGAAACGGATTCAATACTGATTATCCTGTTGAGAAATTGATGAGAGATGCTAAGATTTACCAGGTACGGTACTGTATGTACGATAACCTAGAGACTCGTTAAACATGTACAGTCAACTCTCGCTATTACGGACACCCTCGGGACCGTAATTTAGTGTCCGCAGCAGCGAGAGTCCGTAGTAACGAGAGTTACTTTCTGTCATTTCTCTGTATTTTTTTCGCCGGGGATTCAGTRTTTTACTGTCCGCAATATCGAGGTGTTCGTTGTAGCGGGGTGTAGTAACGAGAGTTACTTTCTGTCATTTCTCTGTATTTTTTTCGCCGGGGATTCAGTATTTTACTGTCCGCAATATCGAGGTGTCCGTTATAGCGGGGTGTCCGTAAGGCGAGAGTTGACTGTACAAATGAAGCGTTAGATACATCAGTTCACTCTACGGGTAAAATGTTCGTTTACATCCTGCATGCATAGCGAAGGAACTTAAAATAACATTTCGGAATACACCTTTTTCAATGAAATACACGTCTTCGCCGTCTAAAGCTATATTTCTTGTGTCTAGATTTACGAAGGCACCGCTCAGATCCAAAGAATGATCATTGGACGTGAACTCATTGATAAGGCGAAAATGATGAACATGTAATCTATATTGGACTTGGAGTCGCTCTTTGATATCACGATATCACTTCGATATTACGAGTAGAATTGTACATTTCTAATTTCAAAGCTGTGTAAAAATAAAGGGTTTTGYCTTCCGCATTATAACATTTTTCAAAGTTTATCTGTAGCACTTCTGGCTTGATACACATGAATAAATTAATTAATTAAAAATGAAAAAAAAAGCAAAAAAAAAACCAACAACAAACAAACAAATGGTAATGCGATTTAATTATTTGATCCCAGACTGTATCCGAAATCGTATCGATGCAATGGAATCCAGAATGATGAAGTGTTCGGACAACATTTGAAAAGACCATTGATGGGTTTACCTATTGTTGGTGATTCTATATTTTTTTTTAAATTCTATATAAAAAGATTGCAAACTCGTCACCCAACCATCCTTCTTTCTCGTCTGGGCTGGGGACCAGCGATGGCGGAGATTCAGATGTTGGTGACTATCTGTACTGTAMTGCGCGTAGCCTGTGTACATCCGTTCCCACCCCTCCCCCCTACGGGTAAAACGCCTCCCCGCATTTTCCCCGTAGGGCCAGGGGGGGGCACAGGCTGTACTGCGCGAAGTGTGTACAGGCTTTGCGGGAAAATAATTGATTGATTTGAAGMCCACTTCTTGAAGAACGTGTTTTGAATTTGTGACGCCTTCTCCTAGTCTATCCCTGCTTGCATGCAATGGCGTTTCCTTGATCGCTGATCTGACATGCAAATGGAAGTGTGGTGGTCTCTTCTAGTGCGAAATTCTCTCCGTCTTCTCGAAGTTCGCTTTCTGCCGTCACGGAATACTACTTTCGTGACAACACGTTGATACGTTACACCGTTGGTCACGCCTGATTGTATAATGGAATTCAGAAAATGAACACTGTACTTCCGCATTCGGTATATCTTCTGAACGCCTGACAACGTTTGCTGSTTTCTAACCAAGTTCATCAAAAAGCGCYTCTCGTTTCTGAMCCCTTTTTCAACTTCTTGAGAATTGCAAACTGCCATTATCGTTTTTTATGATACATGATTTCTGATTCATTTTGAATTATTATGTAATTAACTATCTACCTATGTGACGGTGGTGACCCGTGACAAAAACAATCACAGCTCATCTAYACCAAGACTAGCAGACGTCTAAAAAATATCAAGAAGAAAAATACCAGAAGTTGGATGACGATTGACAGTGTTTTAACGCGATATGGTATCTTACAGAGATCTGTGTTTGTCCYTTACTTTCTTTGCTTCTTTTGGTAAGTAGCTAATTAATATTGCTTTAATATTGTATCTATTTAATTGTGCTATTTTGGACATTTTCTTCGACACTTTGGCATGTACTYGTTTATATGAAGTGTGGTAATAGGTTTCCGACCCATAAAGTTCATTAAATGTTATTAAGTATTGTCTTCTGTTATAGGCTATATCCACTTCTCGAATGCACAAGATMAGTTTTTYTTCAATGARACGTCATTGATGCAAGTYACTTCAGCAGTGATTCCACTTAGCAAAGGATTTGATTTTCAATTCAGRACATGTCATGGAGGTGTTCTRCTATACCAAGCAGGGRCTGGTARTGATTATATATTAATGCATGTAAACCCTGGAACAGTAAACTACACYATWTCCACTAGTCCTCCAYATTTTGTTGCAAGTCATTTGATATTCAAATGGAAAGTTGGTGGWCAAGAAGGCTTAGTTCGTGCTGGTAATGAATTAGACAAGAGTCATTGGTACATAGTAAAGTTTGACCCTGGAAGCTCAAGTAATAATGCAACATTAACGTTGACTGGAACAAAAAATGAGCAAGTTGTAGTTGATAAAAACATTTTAAACTTTCAACACAGTGGACCTTTGTATGCTGGTGGGATTTTTAGTAGCAATGGAAGCTCTGTCAAGGGTTTTGTTGGATGCATAGAAAGTGGCAACAATATCAAGTTAGCAGATGGATTAAGCAAACTAAATGTACAAGCTGGTTGTCCACTGRACTCACAGCAATGCCCYAAAAAAGGTAACTTTWTATATATAGCATCGTACAGTTGAGAAAGAGGCYTTWTGCTTTAACAATGAGGCCGCCATCTTGAATTGCATTGTTTATGGGACAAWGAGACAGATGAGATGACCAGCGGTCACTCGACGAAAATTTAGACTCAGTGAATTTGAAAATCTTAAAAATAAAAACATGAAAATATATTTGAATGATTTGAAGGAAAGCTCACATTTTTTAGAGCATAAAAATTATCAATGAACTAGCTGTTTGATGAATTAACGTGATGTTATTTTATTCAATTTTCGTAGTATGTCAACCAGGTTTTACTGGATATTACTGTGAAACAAACATCAATGAATGTGGTTTAGGGTCTTGCTATTCATACAGTACTTGTGTTGATGGTGTTAATAATTTTACCTGTGTATGTGGSCCACGATACACTGGACGTTTGTGCAAGACCTTTCTTGGTTCTTATTGCAATGATAAACCATGTCAAAATAGTGGATTTTGTAAAGATACCGATGAAAGTAAGAACAACTATACTTGTACGTGTCCAGATCCTTGGACTGGACGGAATTGCACTGATGTCGTCAATCCCTGTGACCCATCGCCTTGTCTCAATGGTGCAACGTGCTACAGGAAAGGTCAGCAGAGTGCAGAGTACAACTGCTCATGCCCTCCAGGTAAATACAATCATTTGTCATAAAATAATGAGCACCGGAGGTTTACGCTTTTTCAAAGCATGTTGACTTTAAGTTCTTTTCTCATTCGAAACAAGTTTCAAGGMGATGAATGCGTCCAATTTCCAATGTGTAGCCGGAAAATGTCGCCTGTCTTTTCTTGCAACAAAAAGAAATTGTTGCGCAAAGTAGACCGTGGATTGCATTTCCACAACAAAACTCACTAAGAAGCTACCGTCATCTTGATTTTCATTTTTTCAGCGGCAAGCAACAACAACAACAAATCATCTTCTTTTTTMTCATTTTAGCAGTAAAAATGTTTTGCTCTTAGGTTTTACTGGTATGAAATGTGAAAACAACATTGATGACTGTAGAACRATACCATGTGTSAATGGCAGATGTATCGATGGTATWAATAACYACWCATGTRAYTGTACTGGRTMTGGTTATAAAGGACCAACTTGTTCTCAAGATATCAATGAATGTAATTTAACATCRCCTTGTCTTAATGGAGGGACATGTTACAATTATCCTGGTACATACAGCTGTAAGTGTGCTCCAGGCTACAGTGGTGTMCGTGATTGYGCTGTCMAWATTGACGACTGTCAATCAAAGCCCTGTSAAAATGGAGGTATTTTACRTGAATATTGATACATAATGGTTTCCCACACCTCCCCCTGCTAGGAATTATTTGTAATACCTAGGCGTTCTTTATTGCGAGCGTAAAAGGTGAGTTGATACTGGGGCGAGTTACTCTGCAACGTCACATCACGTCAGGGCTGGAACGTGAAAAGCCTGGGGATGAATTTATTTGCTTTCTTTTTTTCCAGGAACATGTCATGATCTGKTGAATGATTTCAACTGTACTTGTGTTGTTGGGTTTACTGGWAAACARTGTAAGASCAACATYRATGACTGTGTCAGCCATAACTGCACACAAAACCAGGACTGTRTTGATGGAATCAACAGTTTTACATGTCAATGTAAAGCAGGTGGGTMAATGGTRGYCATTAGTTTTTAAAGAATGATGATTAACTATCAAAAGTGTTCGCGATGGTTGTACATCAGTTTCATGATGACAATTACTCTAAAATGGTGGTGGTAAAGATGTCTGTCTAAAAATGATTGTGATGATAATAGTATTAATAATCTAGTGGTGATGATAGTATGCATTATCGTTCCTAACTAATTTCGTTAATGAGTTATCTCCATGGCGAAGAGATAAAGCGTAAGTCGATATCGTTTGAGGAGTACGTCAATATATTCAATATCACTATTCCGGCAATGCAATTTCAGGATATACTGGTGCGAACTGTATGATAGACATCAAAGAATGCCTCACCAACCCATGTCAGAACAACGGCAYATGTCATGAGGGAATTAATGGCTATAACTGTTCGTGTCCAGCAAGGTTTAATGGCTCACATTGTGAGTTTGACAAAGTGGATGACTGTTTATCCAACCCTTGTGTTAACAATGGGACGTGTATGGATGGTGTGGCTAACTTTAACTGCTCTTGTCCTCAACGGTTTGCAGGAAAACGGTTAGTTACAATACTTAGTGGATGTTTAATCGTGGTTTTTGATCATTCGTGTTTTTTCGTGTGCTTTTTTCTGAACGCCAAAAATTTGGTCTACATCCATTCATCCGTCCATAGTTTATAAAGAGAGACTAGTCATCCTCTATTTACCATTATCCACCTTCCATTTCATTCATTCGTTCCTTCGATCGTTCATTCATTCAAATTCGAAACTCAGCTCCCTTCTCCGCCGTCCATGATGAAATGCATGTAGATTTTTTTTGCGCAACTTCTAATTTTGAAATGCTTAGGTTTTTTCGTCAATATCTTCTATCCTTAGGTGTGAACTGGACATATGTGACCCTAACCCATGTGAAAATGGCGGCAACTGCACTAAAATAAGCCAGTTTAGCTTCAACTGCACATGTGCAACAGGCTTTACAGGACACAATTGTTCCAAAAATATCGAAGATTGCGAGAATAACACGTGCGTTAAGAATGCTACATGCATTGACGGCATTAATAATTATACCTGTCGATGCCCTGATGGTTATACTGGAGAATTCTGTAATATTGATATCAATGAATGTGCTTCCAATCCATGCAAGAACAATGGCACGTGTGTCCATGGGATTGGTCATTATAACTGTACATGTTTAAGTGGTTTTAATGGTACCCAGTGTGAGAATAACATCAATGACTGTCCATCCCATGGTTGTTATAATGGTACTTGTATTGATGGTATTAACGATTACAAGTGTCAGTGCTACAGTGGATTTAACGGGACACATTGTGAAAACGAGATCAACGAGTGTCTTGATAGTAAGTTTTGCAACTTGTATTGGCATCATAAATATTTTTTTGTTATTCGTTGCGTTCCCATAATTCCTATCGACCTCTGATTTTCATTTTTGATGCCAACTCATACTGAATAACACATGTTGTCATTATTCTTCAGGTTCATCGTGTTTGAACGGAGCAACGTGTATCAATACAGTTGGTTCTTACAAATGTCTGTGTAATCAGTATACTAACGGAACACGATGCGAACATGACATCGATGAATGTAAACTAAAATCC